AATTCGCAACATGCCAGGTAACGGAAAAGGGAACAACAAACCCGCTTGCCGACGACGTTTCTACTGATTTTGAGCAATGCCAGCATAGGAGAAAATAAAAAAATGAGTCGAACTGCTTGCTGACTTTGCTTATAATGATTTTCAGACCTAAAAGGGAGAAAACTAAAACGGTAGGTAAAAATGTGCTGACCTTGGTGCTGATGATGTTCGTAAGAATTTTGAGACTTGCCGGGCAAAAAAAGTAAAGCAAAAAAGAGCTGAACTTGTTGCTGACGTTCCTTCTAATGATTTTGCGATGTGCCGGCAAATGACAAAGCGAAACAATGACTTTCAAAAACATAAATAAGTCGCCTGGCCCCCATCGAAAAAGTCTAGCCACAACAATTAGTGGCAGGGCGCCCTGTGACGCGCGTCCAAAGCCGCCGGAAGAAGCCGCAAAAATGTGGCGTTGTGAAATGCATGGGCACCGGGATAAATGCAGGAAGATGTGGGAATAGACGGGGGTAGTTGCGGCTTTTTCCCCGGGAAATGTGTCTCATTCCGCAGCATCCCACCATCCGAATTATTGATGACTTCGCTCGGGATGGGCGACTTCCGTTTCATGCAGAAATCGGATGGGTAGGGTCGTTAATTTGGAAGCTTAAGTCTAAGCCGAAGCCCTGTCCTAAGCCAAAACCTAAGCCTAACCTAAGCCCAAACCTAAGTCTAAGCCCAAGCCGCTAAGACCAAGCCAAGAGATAGGCCTAACAAGGAGACGTTTTTTTAGTGTGAATTGAGTTTTCAGTCGAAACCAGGCCTATTTTGTGCAGAATTTTGCGCTGATTCCGAATATGTATTCCATTTTTGCTAAATAGCTCGATTTAAAAAGTTACAGCCATTTTAAGATCATTTTGGCCCAGATTTTCTCGTCTTTAAGGCCCATTATGTTGCTTTTCCCGGCTGATTTTCCAAAAATAAATATAGTGATCGTATTCAGAAAATTTTTCTCTATCGAATGAGCTCTTTAACTCAAAATTGGTGAGAATTGAAAAAATCGACGATACTTGGTATTGACTCCGTTTTTTTTGTATGGGAAATGGGGAAAAACAGCCTATTTCACTCTCCTATAAGTGATCGTCCATAGGTAGTACCGTACTAATGTAATATACCAATCGAAGCAGAAAAAAATTCTCTACAAGATAGGCTACTTAAAATAAATTGGAACATTAAAACAAAAAAGTAGCACATCATAGCATATGGCTACTCTTGGACTAAAAATTATCTTAAAATAGCTGTAACTTTTTAAATCGAGCTATTTAGCAAAAACCGAAAACATATTCGGAATCAGCGCAAAATTCTGCACAAAATAGGCCTGGTTTCGACTCAAAACTCCATTCACACTAAAAAACGTCTCCTTGTAAGCCTCAGCATAAACCTAAGCCTAACCCAAGCTTAAGCCCGTGCCCATGCCTAAGCCTAAGCCCCAGCAAAAAACCTATGCCTAAGCCTAAGCTCAAACCTAGGCCTTAACCAAGCAAAGCCTAAGATTAAGCCTAAGCATGAGCTAAGCCTAAGCCCAAGCATGCGCCTAATCCAAGCCCAAGCTATCTGAAAAAGCTTAACCGTGAGGGAAGAACACCTGACTGCAGATAGTAGCTTCAGCGGCGTGGTCATCTGATCCAGGTGGGTATTGGGTGTCGACCGATTGCATTTCAAGCTTCCACCGACAGTTTGTGCGATGCCAATATACGGATCCAATTGTTGGGTGGGCGGCAATAATCTCTCGGTTCCGCATTGCGCCCATCCACAGTTCGTTTTCCGAATTTCCCGCTGTGCGCGTGAATAACGGAAAGAAAAGCCAGTGGACGCTTGAGGGGAGATCAGAAAAGTGCGGCGAAGTCGGTACAAGGTATGTTTTTTCTGGGTTTTAAAGGGACAGCCATCGAAAGGGGAAAATCGTGGAAATAAGCAACGAACGCACAGGATGATGCTTTGCAGAGAGTAGCCGCGTGTAGTTTGGTCATAAAAAACCAAAGTGTTTTCCATTAATCATGTTTTCAAACCTTCCAGCCCTTTACGGAGGTATTTTATAGAGGCATGCGATCGAGGAAATTCGCTGAACTCAGGTCCGTCCATCCAACCGAAATCCACCCGGATTGCTGCCGGAATTCCGATCGCGTCCGAGAGCAGGTGGAAATCGACCGGATTTTGTATGGAAACCGGGCGGATATCGACCGGATTCCACCTGTCCGCCCGTAATCCGCGGGAATCCACCCGGTTTCCAATCGAAATCCGTTCGATTTCCACCTGCTCTCGGACGCGATCGGAATTCCGGCAGCAATCCGGATCGATTTCGGGTGGATGCACGGCCTGCAAATAGAATCAGAATCGTCGAAAATGCCGTTTCTATATCTAAAAACTGTGTACAATGCTATAAAAATGGTTGATAATTTGTTATCCGTCCGTCCAGGGTTACTGGGAAACTTAGTACCCCCCCCCCCTCCGCTAACAGCCCAGTACTAAAATTTGAGGAAAGATGTTTTTAAAGGCGCGATAGATAGAGAAGTGTTATAATCCGGGGAAAAGCAGCTAGCGCGCAAACACAACTGTCAAGTGTAGCGCCGTGTAGTGGATCGTAGAAAACCACCTACGTATATTTTGCGCAATAGTGTTGATCTAAAGGTCTTGTAAAGGCAAAATTCAGCCAGGTAGCTTTTGCGCTCGAAATCGAACGGAAAGGCAGTAAAATATTGAATTTGGGCGCGGGATCAAGTCCGGTGAAAGCAGGTAGTGAGAGCCGGGGGTGGCGTGTGGATGGGTATGGGCGGCAACGAAAGCGAGACGCGGCAAACTATCAGGGCCGGGCATCGGCCATATGCACAGCCAGACATCGGCCGGCCCGGGCGCGAAATGACAGACGCATGCGGAAGCACGCACGCACGGGGACGACGACAAGCCTGTCCCGCGGCGCACGGCCCAAAACGGGGCCTGCCAATCGCGGAAAGCTGCCGCCTGCTGAGATTTGACTAAAAAAAATGGCTTTTAACAAAAAGTTCATAAAACGTTCAGGGGATTGTACGTTTACACCTATTTACGCAGAGACGCAGCTGTCCATAGGTGTATACCGCTCTTTCGCAGTATCGGGTCGACTACTTTTGGCTTCGGATCTAGCTTTTCAAAAAAATATAACTCGTGGAACTGTTTTAAGCGGTTTTATTATACACGCAAACGCGAAAAACCTAAAACTTCATTAAAAAATAACAAAAATATCGATTTTCCGACCACACTGGCTCTTTTGACCAAAGTCTCGACCTACTTATTTAAATTTTTAAATATTTTTTTTGTAAATTGAGTAGTTATTTTTCCTAAAAAAATATTAAAACACGTCCTATTCAATTACAACACCACTGAGACAAAAAGTTAGGTGGAAAATGGCTTTCTTATGATTTCCGACGTTTTGAACCTCAAAAGTAGCTTCCTAAACAAAAATAAATGCATTTAACAGCTTCAAAAATTAGGAAGGCAAAGAACTAAGCCGGGAAAGCTTTTTGACAACAACTTTCCGTTAATTTTTGAGCTAAAAAACCGAAAAATTGAGTGGGTGATCAGTGCCATAAATTTATTTTTATTTTTATTGCACGCTCTAATAAATGTCTAAACTAATAAATGTATTTAAAAGATTCAAAAACTGTTTTTTTTTGAGCATAAGCTTCACCCTAGCGAAATCGATGTGCCCCATTTTGCGCCATGGTACCGGTGGGGCGATAAGCGCAAGCCGTTACACGTTAAAGCCCACGGAAACAACGATGTACGGGGAGGGTGGAGAATGGGCTGCGAGAGCCGGATCTCGGTGCAACAGGAACCAGTCGTACGATCGGGTAATGGGCTCTCGACCGCATACATACAGGGTGATACACCAAAAAAGTGGTATATAGGGCCGAGATTACTTTTTCTAGGTTTTTGCATAGCCATAAGCTAGCTGGGTACGGGAATTAGAACTCGCAAACATTCTAAAAAAAATTTTCTAACTATCTAACAATGAAAAACTACTAAAAGAAATACACTGTTTATTATTCGCAGAAATCCCGAAAGCCAGAAACCATAGATTTTAAAACGATTTATGAGTAAAATGACCAGAAAAATAACATTTTGGCTGTCGGTATTATGGATGTCGGGGTTATGGCTGGAATTCCTGCCTGACCCCCCCCCCTGCTATTCGTGTAGTACGGCCTAGCTGTAGCTAACAAGAAGCTCGAAAATTTGGTAAAATTTCGCAGGAGAAAACGCCAGGGGATGGAGATGTGGGTAGTAGGGGAAAAGAAGGGAGCTGAATGAGGATGAGGGGGTCAGAAAGAGAGAGAGAGAGGTGCAGAGCTGAAATCCCCTCGATTGGAGGGGGGTCAAGGACATGAGTAGCAGCCGATCGAGGGGAGAGCCCCCGCAGGCCATCCAGCCCCAACCAACACAAACCTAATAACGGGATCGAGGTTTCGGGATTAATGATTGGGAAATAGCGACAAGCTCGAGCTCCCGAGATATCGATTGGATCAAATTAACATCGCGGCCAAACGAGCGGAGAAGAGTCTTATTCCCTCCCCCCGGCCTCCAAATTTTATAGCTAGGCTTTCCGTGATCGTACAGGTGTGTAAAGTATACCAAAATGTTCGTATTGCTCTGGAGAATATTTTGGTGTACTTTAGAAATCTGTAGTACAACGGGGAGCAGAGTACGCCACGACTTACCGGAATCTGGCGCCTAAGCAACGAACGCTCCTTTCGACGCAAAACGTATGGGGCTAAAACTTCAAGCCCTATAACTTTTAAACTAAAGCTAATCTTGAAAAAAAAGCTAATTCCAAGTTTTAGAGTGAAACGAGGCGGTTCGAATGATATGAGGAGTTGCAGAAACTAATTGCAAAATCCTCAGAATACCAGGATTAACATAACCGCTATTTCATCACACATTCAAATCGATAGTACTCGAAATACAAGGCACTACTCATTCCGGCAAGCAGTGGCCGTATGGCCTGGTTTTCGCCGGTTTTTGCCCAAATCTTTCTGATCCTCGTTTGGCTATTGTTGAGCGCCCATGGCCAAGAGCCGACCCCCGACCCCGGCAAGCAAAAACGCATCGACGGTTGGTGAAAAACAGAAATCCCATCCCAACCGACAAGTTCAGCATTCCGGAAAACAGTCGGCGATCAGGACTGGGTGCCCACCCTCGACCTGTATGATCGCTTTGATTTTGTAGGAAAATTCGTGCAAAATTCCACCTTTTAACCTGCCAGAGCGGCCTGCGCGAGATGAAGATGAACGTGCTGGAGGCGTTCCGCCACGACATCGACTGCCCGTTCATCGGCGAGGGCGAGCGGTTGTTGCGGTATTTGAATTCATTGTCTATGAATAGAATTGGGGTTCTTTATTTAGGAAAATACGATTTTTCAGGCAGCGTGAAGGGCGCTGTCCCCGCGAGAATGACGAAGAGTGGGTTCTCTTACACTCCCTCCCCAGCTCAGCTCCCAAACCTCCCCAGCTCGAAGTTGGACTTCGATTAGCCATATAGCCTATCTGATGCAGTTTTTCACGCTGATAACGATACCGATATTTATTTTTGCCGAGCGCCAGAGGAACATTGTTAAAAATCGATTTAAAGTTTTGTCATGTTGGGCAGTCCCGCCTCAAAGCCCCTCCCCACGGGGAAGGATCCATCGGCGGCGTGGTGTAGTCGGCAAGTACTTGGCCTACCAATCTAGAGGTCGCTAGTTCGAGTCTTGCCGCTGACGACTTTTTTGCTTTTTGCCTCAAAAGGGCTGTGAAGGTCCTACAACTCATCAAGAAAAATGTTTTTAAGTTTTTTTGGCACTTGGTCGCTAATTCAGGTAGTTATGGCTACAACGAACCACAGGCCTCGATACGATCCTCATGAATTTTATGACCTCAAAACGCTTACCTTGGTGCAGAAATGAAGCTTGACATAAGATGTAAAAAAAAACTTAAAGACAGAACCTAATATTTCCTTCCCCTTTTTTTTCAAAAAGTTTTCAAAAGAGTGGCTGGTGCATTAAATAGTTGGTGATCCACCGATAATTCCAAATGTCTTCGGCGGAAAAACAGTCTTTCCGAGAAATCGAATCGAGCAACTTGAATTGGTGACCGAAAGTTCAAAAAAACTTAAAACCATTTTACTTGATGACTTACAGGGTATCCCAAAAAAAAGACCCCCCCAAAAATTTGAGCCAGAGGGCACCTACGGAGCTGAAAATTTGGGCAGAGGTAGCGAAGCCAATTTCCCATGTATATGGAAAGTTTGAGCCATTTCGGCCGACGGGTTTTAAAGTTATAGCGAAAATACTTTTCATTTTTAATTTAATATGGGGACTTTTGCAATTTGCATCAAAAATATGCGTTATTCTTGAATTTACGAGCCGATTTTGCATAAATCTTGCCAAAAAATGCCAGTCTCTTGCTGGAGCATGGCGCGAACGATTGCGTATGAAGAATAAAAAGAGTGTGAAAACAACTGTTTTATCGATCCAAACCACGACTTATTGTGCATTTTGGCAATCTGCTTTGCGCTAGTCCCGAAACAGAGTTCGATGAGCTTTTAAGTGGTGCTTAAGTTTAGATTTGGGCTTGGGTTTAAGTCAGTCCAAAGTCTAAGCGAAGTTCAGGCGCTGAAGGATAGTTTCAACCAATGTATCTTGTACTCAGCGGTCTTGCTGATCGTTTACACGCTGCTTGAGCAATCGTTTTCCAAAAGCTCCAGCAAGAAAATGGCTTTTTTGGCAATATTTATGCAAAATCGGCTCGTAAATTCAAGAATAACGCATATTTTTGATGCAAATTGCAAAAGTCCCCATATTAAATTAAAAATGAAAAGTATCCTACTATATATAAAAAAATAGTGTATGTGTGTGTGTGACACTTTGCATACACTTCCGTCAGTATGTCCGGAGGATAACTCAATAAGGACGGGGTTTTATGGCGTGTATGATACGTCATTAGGTGCGTAATGGCCCTGAGATGACTGCACACCGATTTGAATCATAAAAATAAGCTATTTTCGACATTAAATTAGGGTTTTTGTCAAGTTTTCGACCAACCTCTTTGTTAGAAACGAATTAGCATATGCCGGAAGTAGAAAAAGCCTATATAAAGGGCTGGCACGGGAGTTTTTATTTTTCTCAGTTGATTGAGGCGGAATTATGCAAAGTTTACAACCTCATTGGGCCCAGACGGGGCCAGGGTTGAAAAGTCGCGAAGCGGCTTTTCAACCCTGGTTTTCGCTATCCTACTATATATAAAAAAATAGTGTATGTGTGTGTGTGACACTTTGCATACACTTCCGTCAGTATGTCCGGAGGATAACTCAATAAGGACGGGGTTTTATGGCGTGTATGATACGTCATTAGGTGCGTAATGGCCCTGAGATGACTGCACACCGATTTGAATCATAAAAATAAGCTATTTTCGACATTAAATTAGGGTTTTTGTCAAGTTTTCGACCAACCTCTTTGTTAGAAACGAATTAGCATATGCCGGAAGTAGAAAAAGCCTATATAAAGGGCTGGCACGGGAGTTTTTATTTTTCTCAGTTGATTGAGGCGGAATTATGCAAAGTTTACAACCTCATTGGGCCCAGACGGGGCCAGGGTTGAAAAGTCGCGAAGCGGCTTTTCAACCCTGGTTTTCGCTATAACTTTAAAACCCGTCGGCCGAAATGGCTCAAACTTTCCATATACATGGGAAATTGGCTTCGCTACCTCTGTGCAAATTTTCAGCTCCGTAGGTGCCCTCTGGCTCAAATTTTTGGGGGGTCTTTTTTTGGGACACCCTGTATAAGACCTTCACAGCAATTTTTATCCAAAAAGCAATAAAGTCGTCAGCGGCAAGACTCGAACTAGCGACCTCTAGATTGGTAGGCCAAGTACTTGCCGACTACACCACGCCGCCGATGGATCCTTCCCCGTGGGGAGGGGCTTTGAGGCGGGACTGCCCAACATGACAAAACTTTAAATCGATTTTTAACAATGTTCCTCTGGCGCTCGGCAAAAATAAATATCGGTATCGTTATCAGCGTGAAAAACTGCATCAGGTAGGCTATATGGCTAATCGAAGTCCAACTTCGAGCTGGGGAGGTTTCCTTGTTAAACTGCAAATAGCTCGCCTAGTGGAGTCTGAGCTACTGTATCTCAGCTCCCCGTTGTCGTACAGGGTTTTAAGGTATACCCAAAATGTTCGGCTTGGTCTTGCGCGTCTTTTAGTATATTTGGTACAATTCGGATAAGCGGGGGGGGAATTTTTAGGCGGGGGGGAAACCAACTTTTTTTTGTCGGCCCTGGTGGGGATAGTAATCAAATATAAAGTGTTTTCACATTGTTTTTAGCAAAATTCAAGCCTATTTGAATCGGAAAATCTTTCTAAAAAGTTAGAAAAACGCTTGAAAAAGTCGAAAATTTGGTCATTTTTGGGCCGAAAAAATTGATTTTTCGACCTAAAATTAAATTTTTTAATTAAGTTTTGTAAAGTTTTTATGTTTAGGAATAGCTATAAACAATTTAGAAACACTTCCACTATTTATATAAAAAATATTAGCTTGGGCGGAAAAAAGTTCGGTTTCCCCCCCGCCTAAAATTTTCCCCCCCGCTTATCCGAATTGTACCGTATATTTTACAACCCTTCAGATGAACAGGCAGCCGAAATACAAAAGTTAAAATGGGGGTTGGGGTGAACTATATTCGTTCTTGCGTCGTACTTCCGCATTTTCTAAGTCCAGAAATGGCTAGTAACTAATATAAACTGTTTTAGTAGTATTTTTAGTCTTCTGCACCTATTTTTAACCCGAAAAACTATCTAAAAACTTTAGAAAATCTTTGAAAAGTCGAAATTTTGCTCAAAATCGGCCAATTTTGGTAAAAAATCGATATTTTGATATGTTTTTGATAAAAATTTGTAGATTTTACGTTTAGGAATGACAAAAAACAATAGATATTGCGAAAGAACCACTACATTACTTCCAGAAAATCGTCGAATTCCTCATTTTCGCGGATGCGCGACAAGCTGAGGCAAAAACGGGTGAAGGGCCGCCGGAAGCGCTTCAACGCGATCCAGGACGCCAAGAAGCATGTGAGAAATCGTTTGTTTAATTTTTACAAGTCTTTCTTAGGTGCTTAACTTTGCGACGTTCGGGATGTTGCGGGGTGATCCGCTGAAGCTGCCACCGACCGGGGCCTCGATGCTCATCCTCGAGGGGCAGTGGCTGACGCTGAGATGTGCTCTGAAGAAGGATGAAGATAAGGTGATTTTTTGGTTCTTTAGCAGTAGCGGGAGGTGATCACCTTTTTCGGGATCCAATTTTTCAAACATAGATAGCAAAAGTGTTTCTTAAGAGTTTTTGCTATCCACAGACGTGAAAACTTTACAAAATTGTATTAAAAAATGTCAAAAAAATCGATTTTACGACCAAAAAGGCCGATTTTGATTTTTAAAAGTTTTTAGATAGTTTTTCTAGATGAAATATAGTTATTTTATTGAAAACACTATTAAAAGGCTTTAGATTAAGTTACTAGACATTTCTAGACGTATACGAAAGAGTTCGACATTTTATACGTTTCCAGAATCAAACAGTCTGGGTTGTAAATGGCAACACGATCGAGCCGAACTACTACGAGTGGCGCATCAAGGCCGAGGCGGACATGTTCGAGGTAGGTCTTCAGCTGACACTCCCGGTAGAGGGTTTTTCTAGGTTTTCCCGACCGTCCTCGACGACGCCGGCATTTTCGAGTGCCTCTACGAGGACCAGCTGCGCGGTTTTGCCAATATCACGATCGTTACCCGATGGGTAAGCGTTTAACTTGAGATTCCGGTAGTAGCTCAAATCCTAGGCGGCCATCTGGATGGGCTATCAGAACTACATGACGGTGATGTGCGTGTTTTTGCCGCTGTGGGTGGCACTCCTCGGCAGCAACTTTTTTGCGCCGCCACCGGTATGACCTCGTTGTACGATCGAGCAGATTTTTGGCTTCAGAAGTTCAAGAAGAAACATGGGAAATGGGGCGACGCCTACATCGAGCATCGCCTGAACGACAATGTATCTAAGGCAAAGGTAAGCTGGTATCCTACTATATATAAAAAAATAGTGTCTGTGTGTGTCTGTGTGTGCCACTTTGCATCCACTTCCGTCTGTCTGTCCGGAGGATATCTCGGTAGGGGATGAATTTTAAGGTATGTATGATACGTCATTAGGTGCGTAATGGCCTGGAGATGACTGCACGCATCTGAGATTCAACAAAGTCACCTATTTTCGACATTAAATTTAAGTTTTAGTGAAAACTTCTTTGTTAGGAATAATTAGCATAGACCGGATGTCGGGATTCGACTATATACAGCGACAGGAAAGATTGTTTTTCATTTTTTGTCATCAGAATTTAGGACAATTATGCAAATTGAATGTTACAATGGGGTCAGACGGGGCCAGGGTTGAAAAGTCGCGAAGCGGCTTTTCAACCCTGGTTCTTGCTAAATAGTTAAAATACAAAATATAACGATTAAATTATGGTTAAAAAAATACTACTTGTACCAGGAATCGATTGCCCGCAAAAAGTTTGGCGACGACCTCGAGAAGCAGAAGGAATTCCTGCTGAGAAGCCAGTACGGGCCAGCCGGTGAGTCGATTTAGACAAAAAAAACCTTTTACTACTAACTGCTAAAAAACTATACAAAGTTTAAAAATATGCTAAAAAAATTATCTCTTTTTCAGAAACCGCCGCCATCAACCGACGCATCATCCAGACAATTCTCGACGGCTGCCGTTAACCCCATTTCCCCCACTTTTTTAACGTTAATATTCAACAATGAAATACAATCTTTATTCGTCGAATAAAATGTACAAACAGACAATGGCACTAAAGCGTTGAGGTATCTGGGGGCTGAGGTATCTTTGGGGTGGATTGAGTGAGATCTATGAAATATGTACACGCGGAAGTGCAAAATAATATAGCATTTGTTCGAGATCATTCTAATGTCGGTGCTGAGGTCATATGGCTAAAATCCCGTCTATCGATAGACCCTGGTGTGGAGCAAGAGCAGGAGCAAGAGCTGCTAATCCTCGTTTAGCTTTTTCTTTGTACATGATTCAGTTGTCGTTCAGCCACTTCATCCAATTCTCGTCGAGCGGCTCGTCGACCGGTGGGTCGCGTTGCTCCAGGATATGTTTCTGGGGCTTCGGGGTTGAGCCTGAAAGGTATTTTTATTATGGGTTTTCGATACTTTAGATGTTTTTCTCTGATAAACCAGCCGATTACAGCCGCTTCGCGACTGTAACCGGCTGGACTTCGGGCTACCCCCCCCATTCTACACCACCAAATTTCATCCCTACCTTACGCTGATGCCTTCATGGCAATACCTACACTGATGGCTTCAGTTACCCCCCATGGCTGAAATCCCCTTCAAAAACTACCTACATACCTTCCTGATGGCTTCAGATACCCCCCATGGCTGAAATCCCCTTCAAAAACTACCTACATACCTTCCTGATGGCTTCAGATACCCCCCATGGCTGAAATCCCCTTCAAAAACTACCTACATACCTTCCTGATGGCTTCAGATACCCCCCCATGGCTGAAATCCCCTTCAAAAACTACCTAAATACCTTCCTGATGGCTTCAGATACCCCCCATAGTCGAAATCCCCGTCAAAAACTACTTAGATTCCATCCCGATACTTTAAATGATTTAAATAATAAATTAACATAATTAAAAAGTATTAAAAGTATTAAAATAACTTAAAAAGCTAGCTGGGCGCGGGAAAGAGCCTGGTGAAGAGGGGCCGGGGAAAAGGGGGCGTGGCCAGCCGGGAGAGGGGCCCCCACTCGTTTTATTAAGGCGCCACTTTCAAAGTTAATTTTAATAATTTAAATTAAAACTTTTTTGTGATTTTTTGATCAGTTTGGGGGTTTCTGACCACGCTCTATCCGAATCCGAAGAGACCTAAGCTCTAGCTCCTTTCCCCTTCGAGTTGAATTCGGCTTCACACACACACACAGACAGACAGACGGACGTCTCTACTTTTTTATTATAGTTGATAGTGTTCTTCCACTCACCGGTGAAGCGGAACGGCGTCTGCCGGAAGCCCATCGCCTCCGTCAAAACTACGTTGATGCCGATGGCAATTTCCTTGGACGCCGGCAACAAGAGATCCTTTTCCAGGATGAAGCCGTATTCTGAAAATGTATTTTAGAATGCCAAACTTCTCGCGCTTACCTTGTGTCACTGGCCGAACTTCGATCGTGTAGGCAAACTCGGGCTCCAGCTCGCGCTCCACCCAATCCATCGAAGAGCCGGTGGAGGTATCTGTAAATTATTGGTTTTCGGAATTTATTTGAGAAAACCGGGTGTTAGCGCCCAAAGATATGTCTTAAACTTACAGAGAGCGTCGGCGGGCGTAGCGTGACCATAGCGGGTACCGTTATACGCGTAAATAGCGTCGATGGCCTTCTGCGCAACGTAGATCTGCAAAATGTTCGGTTTATTGACGATAGACTTTTTCAAAGTCGATAAAAGCCAAAAACTGTCAAAAAAAACCGACCGTGCGCTCGACGTTTCGCGTGTAGGTGTTCTGAGCGTAGGCGTAGGGGTAGAGCCACAATTGGCCGTGAGAGTGGAGCGCGATGTAGGCCTCAAGAGCCGGCAAAGTTCGCAGCCAACGACTGTACGTCCTGCAAGGGTTTTTTTTGGTTTGTTTATCACGTTTCTCACGGGTTTTTCTGCTTTATTTTCAGTGTTAACATTTTTGGGAGATTTTGCTAGGCCGTACCTGGTCTCGGAGGCGCTGAATGGTGATGGTCCGGCATAAACATCGCTGCACGGATCCTGGCTGGCGGAAAAGGCGAGGTCCCAGTTGCGATTCAGGTCGACGCCCTCGCAGCAGCGGCCTTCGGCAGTGCAGCGCTTTGGCGAACGGTTTTTGCGCCAAAGACGGTGCTGAAAAAGACAAAATATTAAGCGTAAAGTTACTAAAAAAAGCATTTTTTATAATCAAAACAAAATTTTCACTACACAGCTTCCCAAATCCTTACCTTAAAAGGCTGCTCATCCGCATCCCAAGTAAAACTAAACCCATCGGGGTTCAGCACCGGGATGATGACAATGTTGAAGGCGTCCACCAGCGCCCGAACTTGCAGATCGCCCTCCGACAGTCCGTTGCTGTACTAATTTCAAAATTAGGTATTTGAATTAGGAAGTACCTGCTCGACGAGGAAATAGGCCACGTGGATGGCCGTCCATTCTCGGGCGTGGATTCCCGAATCGATGACGACGTACGGGTTTGCAGGGTTTACGCCAAACTAAAGCAAAATATTCATAAGAACAGTTTTAGAAATATCTAGAAATTCACCGTCAATACATAGAAAAGTTTTTACCTGGATTCCAAGAATCTGACGGCCCTCTTCGCTGGTGCCAACCTGCAGCAGCTTCGTCGTCTCCTTGTGCAGCTTGGCCACCTAAAGCCCAAAAAAGTTATGGAATTTTCACAAATAACTCACACTGCGCAAGAAGTTTTCAATCTGCTCTAGCGAATAGTAGTCGCCGCTTCGCAGAGGCTCATCTTTTGGCGGTAACTCAGGGAATATCCTGAAAGTCAGAATATAAAAAAGCCAAAAACGCGAAGTAAGGCATTAAAAATTTAAGAATATAACTCACGCCTTAAAATGGTTGTAGATGGCCTCGTGGGACGATGGGGGCGCTGGTTCTGGCGAGGAGACTGGGGCGCTAAAAATTCAGTTTTTTCGACGTTCAAAAATTTGGTTTCGGGCGCAAAATTTCTTTTCTTCTTTTCTTTCTAAAAGCCGTAAAATACCCACCTATTAATTAATCTGATGAGAAGCGGAAGACATGCCAAATACGGAATCATCTGGCCGACAGGGTGGGGGAGGCGCAATAAGGTTGAAAACCCTGAAAAGTGTCGAAATCGTGGATTGTTTTCCAATGCCGACAATAGTAGAAAAAGTGAAAACAATGGCGGGTTAGCAAAGAAGATCGTCTGCTGATTGCCGAAACAGGATTTCTGGCCGGGGCGGGTCACGCGCTAATGGTGGGCAATAAAATCCGAGTTGAAGTTTTTAGCAAAAAGGGGACAATGATGGTGGAACTGTTTCCGGGTGTGGCCAAGAAAAAGCCGCGAGTTTTGTAGACCTATAAAAATGGAAGGTAGAGGTCGATAGTACTCTGCAGCGTGAAACTGGCGAAAAAGGAGAGCGATTGGATCGTTTCCGAGTTTGGTCGGTGCGAAATGTGGCAGGATGTGGGTGATTTCAAGCGGGTACACCCGGTTGCGCCCCCCCCCCCTCCCACCCGGATTTGATTGATAGCTGCCGCACCACTCGTCAATAACAACTTTTCGTCGATGTTACGCGTGGTGGGAGCGGGGTTTGAGAGATCAGACAATTTAGTCTTTGGATGGGCAGATCTTTGGCGGTGGCGGGTGGAAGCTAGCGCGGTTTGAACGGGTGATCGTGCATCGGGAAAAAGGGGAGCTGCTTGAGTGACGTGCAGGAAATTGCATGGACTGTCCGTTACGTCGAAATGAGAAATCGGGTTTTGCAGAGAGATTGACAAATCAAAAGGTCAAAAGATCGAAATATTGGGAGCCAGCGAGGGATGGCCGCGGAATTTAGGAAAACAGGCACGGAAAGGTGACAAAAATGTTTTGGAATAGATGAAAAACAGGGCAAGCTAGCAGTGCTTTTTTGGGACATGACATACAGGGCAAACTAGCAGTGATCTTTTGGGGAGTTTTGGGATGTAGCAGGGCAAGCTAGCAGAGATAATTTGAGACGAGGGGACATAAAAGGTCAGGTGGCAGAGATCATTTGGGGCTAAATGGCATACACGGAAAGCTAGCAGAGACCATTTGGGAAGTAACAAAGTAAAACGCAAGGTAGCAGAGATCATTTGGGAAGCAGGGCAAGCTAGATTTTCAGAGATCAAAAGATTTTCAGAATAAGGTTTGCCGATTTTTTGTAAAAATCAGAAAGAGGCAAGCTAGCAGATATTATTTAAAAAAGACACTTCTGCATCACGCAAAGAATCGCCTGTTAGGTAATCAATGAACTATCCCTACGCTAAAAAACAATAGACAACCCTACCAACCGGATGCCCCATCCCTTATATACCTTGCCACTTTACAATAAAGCTATTCATAGAAACGGGAGGATAAGTGCATTCCCTTCGCCTTATATACGATGCCCCTGATCTATTTTCGTTTGACGATCAATCATCGCCGGGCTCCTTTAAAGGTCTATGCCCGCCCGGGCGAGGAAGACGGAACACTGCGCGCGCCCAGATACACGTCAACTGGAAGTGATAGCACTCTGTTAGATTGGATAACTGACAAACAGCTGAAAAGATAGACAAACACGAGGCGATGGGGGGGGGTGTCCCCGTGTGAGAATGACGAGGTGGCAAATATTATTGGGGAGGAGGGTGGGAAAGGGAATCGAGCACCAGTGAGGGAGTACAACAATGATACACGTGCCGATGATCAAAAACCTTTTTTGGGGGGTGGAAAGCGGCCAAAAAGTTACTCTTTTCGTGCCGCGGTGCGTATTGTAGCGTGCAGACTTTTTTAAAAATACGTTTTAGAAAACTGTAGACTGTCGAAAGTAATGAATAGGCATGACCTGAGGAACAGAAAGCTACAAGCTACTTTCCGTTCTATCGCGTATTCTAGAGTACTAATTATGTTTTTGCATAGTTTATTAGTTATTTGAGCTAGATACACCTGTAAAAACGATGATAAATCATGCGCTGATCCTCAAAAATCCTTTTTTGACCGGGAAAAGGGCCAAAAACTTACTCGTTCCGTTCTAAGACCACGTATTGTAGCGTGTAAATTACCTTTGTAGTACGTTTATTAGTTAATTCAGCCATCCGTTCCGTTTCGCACATTATAACGTAATGTAGCGTACATTTTCGTTTTTTCCCATTTTATAGTAGTGCCAGAATCATTAGTAAAATTTTAGTAAGCTTGTTTTCTTTGATTGTATAATGTGAAACGGTACCAAAAACTCAATTTTAACGTGGAAAAGCTATAATTTCGCGTGTTCCGTTCGGCTCCTGTATACCATACCGTGTCGATGATTTTCGTGTAGCGTTCAGCAGTTTATTCCACAGAAATCAATTTGTAATCCTAGCAATGTTGGCTAACAGCACCAAATCTCGGGGGGTCATAAACTCACAGCAGAAGCTCAAATCAGTCTCATTTTAGGGGCAGGGAAACGACATTTGTGCAAAGACGAAGGGGAACACGTTTTCAGCGAGGGTTGTAGTTAGTTGTTAAAATTCGGGGGCTTATAAGCAATTATTACAAAGGTAGGAAGAAGGTGCAATTATTACAAAGGGGGAAGAGGAAGTTGGTCAGTTTTCTTTGGGCACTAGACGTCTGGCACTGGATTCAGATGGTCAGGGCCGATCAGCGAGACGTAGACGGCGTACGTGTGCACGGCAGAGCCTGGAAAATACTTGTTTTATTACGTTTTAATCTTTTCTTAGTTTCTTTTTTTGTAATACGACTTTTACTAAGTTCGTTCTTTTACTACCCGGTTATACCGAGCGGCTTTCACCCACCAAGTAAGACGTGGACGTGCCAGATGGCGTGGGCGAACGGGACGACGCCGTCGAGTTTGAAGAAAATCACGCCCATGATGTACACCACCCCGCCGGCCATCATCAGCTCCAATCCGGAGCGGTCGTTCTGAAATCTTTCGTTTTTCCTGGTTCTTGAAAACTTAAAAAAAAACTATTTCTTTTCTGCCTACCATCGTGAACATGGCAACCGACGGAATGGTGGCGACGAGGACGTAGAGTATCGTCTCCAGCGTCTTGTACCTAAAAGGCTTCGTAAAGCGTGTTCTAATTTTAAACCAAACTCATAGGATTCGTTTTCATATGTGAAAAACTTTTTTAGAACCCACTTTTCATGAAAATTGTACTGGTAGAGGATGCCGAGGATGGCGAAGACCCAAATCATCCACTTCAGGTTGAGCCCCGGATACCCGCAGTGGCGCAGCGTCAGCCACGGCGTATACGAAGCCGCTGTAAAGCTTCAGATGCCTCGAATGCGCCTTAACCAACCAATAAACAAGTAGATGACGGCGCGGTCGCAGATGTGGAGGTAGTACCGCAAACGTTGTTTCCTGGAGAAAGATTCAATTCGTGGAAAAGCCTCGGAATTTGTTGGAAAAATGGAAACTAGAGTTTCTGCCCACTTACTGCTTCAAGGGCCTGTAAATCATTTCGTAGTAGTGGTAGAGGGTCGACGCCGAGAAGAGCATGGTGGTGAAGATGCCGTAGATGACCATCAGCATGTATTGGAGATCTCGATGCGACGCGTCGATGATGTAGTAGAAGGCGAGGATGCTCGGGATGATGCCGACCTGGAAATGGGAAAAATAGACGGTTTTTTTCAGCTCGTGAAAGACTCCGAATCGCCGCCAAGCAGAGATTTCTGAATGTTGTATTTCAGCTCCCCATGATACCACATGGGCGTAAACTATACCAAAATACGTCGCCAGATCAGCCAGACGAACATTTTGGTATACTTTAAAGGCCTGTGACACAAAATACGAATGAGGTACAAAAGGTAGAGATCAGTCGGGGGTCATCTGGGGTTGCGTCGAAGCGTTTCCATCAATAAAAACCCACTCCATGAGTGCCGACGTTTGCAAGGTGTTCAAAGTGGGTGGGCTCGTAAGATTCGCCGGCACCGGGCTTTCGGTTCATGTAGGGGCTGAAAACACGGATATCTTCATGTCAAAGGAAACTCCAAACCTCAGCGCCTGGGCCTTTTTCGACGTGGACGGCGTGGGCTCCTCGAAAAATCGGTCATCCTCATCTTTTACCGTTGAGGGCCTTCTAAAAAAAGGATTGTAACTTTAGCAAAAATGCCTTTTACCTGACAACACCACAGCTCCCCATGCCGTTCCCCTCCCAAAGTGCCTCAGCGAGCGGCGCGACGCCGCGTCCGTCACAAGCACCGTTTAGTCGCCAGTTGCCTCTAAAATGTCTATTTCAAGTGACGAGATAATATAAAATTACAATGCCAGTAAGTCAGTCATTCGAGGCGACAAAAAAGTTAGTAGATCAGCGAATAAATCTCGCATTTTGCTCGAGGTGCGTCTTCTGTGCTTTTATGCAAACGAGCTAGGCGAAATTCGTATTGAAAACATCGGTTTTTCGCATTCTTGCATGTATCAGGCGCTTATTTTTTGAGATAAGGCAGCTGGGTCGCCACGCGCCAACAAAAAAGCCATTGTTTCTCGCACGTCTATCGCGCCGTCAATCAGAAGTTCTGCAAAATCACGCAAAAAGCTAGGTATTTCATCTTTTTCACATAGAAAACGCATTTTTAAGCCACGGTTTGAGCTTTAAACGTTGTGAAATCGTTTTGTAAAGTAGCACCGAACATCAATAGAAAAAAGCAGAGATTTCCCCCGTCCGAAACACGCCTTTCAATTGGTATTATGACAATAAAAGCTTATAAGACTTGAACATGGACAAAAACCCAATGTTTTTCATCCTGTTCCACGTACAAAAACGTAATTGTTGAACTACCGTCTGAGCTGTCAAGAATAATAATGCGTACATAAAGTTTTATAAAAAGTATCGATCAAAAAAGCTGCAAAAAACCCTGCTTGCCCTTTCAAATCACGTGTTTTTCAATTAAATTTATGAGAATAAGTTTATGACCTTCTTTTACACGGTTAAAACAATTTTTTAGAGATCATAGGAAGAACAATAGGCCGGAAACTTGCTGGAAAACGGGTCGGGAGGTAGGTTGACGTCAATGGGAGGGGTGGGATGAGAGTGGATGGTGAGGGTAAGAGGGCGCAGACGGGGCGAGCGAGCTGGTTGGGGTCGAGGGAAGGCCGAGATCGAGAATTAGGGACAAGGATATTTCTCCCAATGTTTTTATCTCTCATTTATCCCAAATGATGGCACGATGTCGGGGTGTCTGGCTGGGAACTGTGGCGATCACGTGCCGAAAACGTTTCTAAATCGTGGTTTGAAGACGATAAATTACGGTTCTTTCGCATTATCGGGGGGGGACACCAGTCTAGAAATACCTAGTAACTTAATATTAAGTATTTAAACGTATTATAGTAAAATCTAACTGTATTTCAAGTGCAAAAACAATCGTAAAAACCGCGCAAAGAATCTTAGGCGCAATTTCGGTCGTAAATCCATATTTTTTTGGTAATCTTTAATGAAAATTTGTAAAATTTTACCTTTCCGATTAATTTGTAACATTTTAATTGTTTTTAGTAAAAGTTAACTTTATTTAAAGCGCAAAAACAATTTTAGAAACTTGGCGGAATCTTTAGGCACAATTGTCGTCGTAAAATCTATATTTTTTTTGTGGTTTTTAATGAACATTTACAGTTTTAAGTTTAGGATGAGAAAAAGTAGAAAAGAAAAGTTGCCCCCCGTTAATGCAAAAGAACCGAAATCCCTTGGCGACCGACCGATTGCGCTGCTAGGAATATCCGCAAAGTTGAGGGTGAGCACCCGGCTCGGCGGTCCCCAATCGGAGCGTCGGCAGGAGAGCTCTAAATTTCAGGTTTTCTAGGTTCCAATATTGCCAACCTTCAACGAAGGACCCGGAAGAAGTTTCTAGCTGCGAGGAACTCTCGGCTTCATCCTCGCTCTCGACAATTCGTGGAGTTCGTGGCGTGCGAATCACTGACCCATCGGGCAGCACGGAAATTATAGGACGTGATCTGCAAAGTTTTTGTTTTTCTTTCGCAGCGTCGCTTACCCGAGATCCAGCGGCTCAAGTCGGATTTGCCCGATCGACGGATCGGAGCTCGGATCTGAGCTCGAGAATTCTTCGTCAAACGCGTGTCGATATTCGGATAGACGGCCAGTTGATACACCATCGGGTTGTACAGGGCTCGTCGCGGCGTCTTTTTTCTATAGGTTCTTTCGCATTATCGGGGGCGAACTGTTTGTATAATTTTAGAAATGTCTAGTAACTTAATAGCAAGTGTTTTCATTTGTTTTTGGTAAAAATAGCTGGATTTCATCTAGAAAAACTATCTAAAAATTGTTGAAAAGTCGACACTTTGGCCAAAATCGGCCATTTTGGTCGTAAAATCTATGTTTTCTCTTAGTTTCTAACGAAGATTTATAAAGTCTTACGTTTAGGAATAGTAAAAAAATCTTTTTGAAACATTTTCGCTATTTATATCCCCGATAATGCGAAAGAATCCTTCTAAAACCCTGTAAAAGAAACTTTTTTTTTGTATTATAAGCATTCTTGATCGATCTTCTAGACATACCTCATGCACTTCATCAATACGGCTTCGTAAACGTCTTCGAGCCTCCAATGCTTCCACCAAACTCTCCAAACGGCTCTATACAAGTTTACACATCTTTTGGGTGGATTTAGAAAACTTACAAACACACGTTCGCTGTCCTCGCCGGAATTTTGCGTAGACCTGAATATTTTAGGCTTTTTTGCAACTCAAAGCAAAAACCTTTCTGTATCGGCTAACGATTGGGTCCGTCCAGGGCCCCTTTCCGGAAACTCGACAGCTTGAATCACATTCCGGAACCTATTTTCCGTATAATTCGTGAAGGTTGGGTCATGGTGCTCGCCCTCTGATGGTCTGATTTCAATCGGCGGGATCGATATTGGGATCTAGAATCGTCTATTGTATCCCAAATGATCACTACCCCCGGAACAGGAAAGCTCTTCTCGCTTGTCCGATTGCTGGATTCTTCGGATTCTGGGCGTTCTTCAACGCTAGGGGACGATGAAGCGGAAGTACGCAATGAGGGGCTTTCGCTGCTCCCGCTCGTCGAATTCAGCATAGCATCAGGATTCAACATTCGAAGCAAGGGCCCTCGCTCCCTGGACATCCGGAAGGTCGCCAATTCGGCCTAAAATCAACAATACATCTGAATTAATATAAAAGTCACCATCAACTGCTTGCGCAGCTCGCCCAGCTCTTCGAGGGCCACTTTTTCCAAAAATGATGAGCTTCTGAAAGGGGCTGGGTCCCAAATAAACTGTGGAAAAATCCACCTGCTTACCCGATCGTCGAGTGAAAGTTTTTCAGCTTCCTGCAGCTCATCATCTATGAGACGGCGAATGCAGCGCCGGATATTCAGCTTGTCCTCCAGCAGTTTTGTTTTCATTTCTGACAGAAAATTTTCGGTTTTTCGCATTATCGGTGGGGGTGGGGGGGGGGGCGGCAAAAATTTTGTATAAGTCTAGAAATGCCTAGTAACTTCATAGGAAGTGTTTTAACAACGTTCTTAGCAAAATAAAACTCTATTCCGTTTAGAAAAGCGATCCAAAAATTCGAAATTCTGGCCAAAAGCGGTAGCTATATTTTTTTTTGCATGTTCTAACCAAAATTTGTAAAGTTTTACGGTAAGGAATAGTAAAACACTTTTTAGAAAGGCTTCCAGTACTTATATTTAAAAATTGGATCCTGAGCAGGGTTGTTCACCGATGGACCCGGATCGGTAAGGATCCGGATCGGATCTGGATCGGATCCGCAGTAGGATCCGGATCCAGATCCAGATCCTGGATCCAATGCGGATCCGAGGAAAAAAGGGACCGGAAGTAATATTCTCGATTCTGATGCTGATTCGGTCATGTTAATCGCAAAAATACATAGCCCAGAGGCAGAACTGATCTTTGCATCTAAGAATTAGCACTTAACTCGGTTGCATGATCCATTTCCTTGGATCCGGATCGGATCGGATCCGCCCTGGATCTGGATCTGGATCCGGATCCGATCCAGATCCAGATCCAGTCCGATCCGAAAATGACCAACCCTGATCCTGAGAAAAATTTGTCCCCCACTAATGGGAAAGGACCGCGTTTTCCCAAGCCACAAATTTAATTTCTAGAAAATTGAGCAGATAGTTTTTGTAATTTTTGATGTGAAAGAAGATCATTTAAATTTTTAGAGGCGTTTTTCGCTTGCCCATAACACCATCTAATTCCCCGTTGGCAAATAGCCAATCATTTGGTAGGGGCGGGGCGGTCGCGTTGCGGGAGGCGCCCCCCAGCCGGCACAGCATCCCCATGCGGTTGCTTTTTCGGCTATCTTCCCCTCACTCCCTGGACTTGTCCTCCACGCGGCCACCCACCCCCTATCGACTCGGCCCCGTTCCTGAAAATTCTATGTCCCCTACCGGGCGTCTGTGAAACGCATATGCGCCCGTTCCTTTCGTCATCCCCACCCCTCTGATGTCTTCCCCATATCTTTACAGGCGCATTTTGATGTGCACTAATGACTGTCTGCTCTTCGCTATCGATTGATACCAACATGTTGGGATATCTAAAACAGTCTTACGACCCCTTTTTTGGTGTCTTTTGTCGTCTGCCAAATCACGGCCATCTGGGGCAGCTCATACCTTAACTTAGCCCACTTTTAACAGCTGGAACTTTTCGAGTGGGGAGGGCTGCTCTGCTTTCTAAACCCAGACTAGGATCAGACTACGCGAAATTTCAAAAACCTAAACTTATCCCAACGCAGCCTAAAATTAAGACTAATGAAATTAACTATGCCTCCAACATGCATTATTACCGAAAAAGTTCCCATCCCGTCCCGGATTTGGGGGTTTTTGGTGACTTGATATTCTTGGTCTCGGTGCTCTGCCGCCTGCGTCTCTCCACCGGCCCACTGACTCACTGTCTCGGAACCCCTTCTCCAGCCCCCGCTGCGGCGTTCGCTAGCACCCCGAAGAGGCGTGATATATTTTGGAGAGCCGGCCCGTGTTGCGTAGATGATAACAACGCGAAACACCTCCGCCGAAAAGGGAGAATGGCAACCCGGGGAAAATTCTGTGAACTGTCTTGTTTTCCATTGATGACGCACTCACTCTTCTATCCTAGTCTTCCCGTTTAGCCGCCACCAATGACCGAAGTCGCGGCCCAGCTACCTTATACCAATGGGCAACAAATCAATGAGGAAAAAGAAGAGCTCAAGAGCAGGTATGAAATCTCACCGGATTTGGTCAACCCTAGCTTGTAGCCAAAATCCGCCCACAAAAATCGCTGTCCCGGCGCTCAAGGACGAAAATGGTGGCTACCTCGATGAAGATGACATCCCATGGGCTGTCCGTCTCCAAATGGAGGCCGCTGAAAAGAAACCGGTACATAGCCTGCAACTTTTCTCAACTTTTTCTAGAAAGAAGAACCGATTGATGTCGACGATCTACCTTGGAGCGAGCGAATGAAGTTGGAGGAGCAAAAGGCATTTATCTTTTCAGTGTTCGATGGTGACCTTTTCAGCATAGACAAAGAGAAGGAGAAAAGCCCAAGGAAAATCCAAACGGCGGAAAGAAGAAAGTGACAAAGCGAAGACGACTACAAGCCTCAGGTTGGTCTTATAGCAATAATTTTAGTGGCTCCTTTAGAGAAGGAGAAAGAAAAGAAGGACAAGAAAGATAAAAAGCGGAAGTACGCCGATTCGGATGATTCCGACGATTACAAGGAGGTAAGCTTTGTAGAAAGACGAATACGAATTTTTCAGAAAAAGAAATCGAAGTCCAAGAAGGAGGAGAAAAAAGATTCGAAGCGTATCCAGCGTGAGTAGCAGCGCCAAGTCGTCTCCGGTGAAGAGCGGCGGAAGAAAGAAAAAGAGGAAGAGAAGGTGAGGACGTGTGGGAATGGTGGAAGGGAAGAGGAAAACAGACGATTCGATCAAGTGGAACACGTTACAACATATAGTGAGGCATTATTGTTACTACGCGCTCCGCCGCGTCCAAACGTGTCTGTTTTATTCGAATTTCTTCTAGGGTCCCGTCTTCTCGGCCCCCTTACGAGCCGTTAAAGTCGTCGAATGTCAAGTTCTTCTACGACGGAAAGGTGGGTTTTGGCATTGTCTTCTTCGACATTCTCACCGATCTTTAGGGTGGTCAAACTTGGGCCCGCCGCCGAAGAAGTGGCTGGATTTTACGCTCGGATGCCTGACCACGAGTGACACGACGAAGCGGAGATGTTCAACAACAATTTCTGGAAGCGATTGACGAAAAGGTATGGGTTTTTTTCATTTAGGGGAAAAATCTTTTAGACAATGACTTCAGCCGAGCGGGAATTGATCACTGACTTGAAGAAGTGCGACTTCCGCTCAGATTGACGAGCACTACAAACTCCTTTCTGAACAGCGCAGTTTACAGCCATGACGAAGGAAGACAAGTTGAAATTGAGGGCAAGTGATTTCAAAGTTCTTAATTGTATACGCATTTTATGAGAAAAATGGAGGCCGATAGCATTAAGGCTTACGGGGTTCGCAATCATCGACGGGCACAAACAGAAGATAGGGAATTTCCGGCCGGATTCCCGGCTCTCTTCCGTGGTCGTGGTATGCCATCCGAAGATGGGTAAATTGAAGCGTCGCGTCATGCCGGAAGATATGATCACTTCAACCGTTCAAAGCATTTTTTCGTTTTTTGATGTATAACTTCTTTAGGGGTGCTCCGAGATCCCGAAACCACCCCTGGCCATTAATAGCAAAGAGGTCCCTTGACACGATCCAAAGGTCACTTTACTGTGCTGCTGGACGGAGAACGTCGGCGGGCAAAATAAATACATGATGCTGAACGCGAACAGCAAGATAAAGGGCGAGAAGGACTACTCGAAGTTTGAGACGGCTCGACGCCTCAAGACTCGCATTGACAATATTCGGGAGGTCTACCGTGGCGACTGGAAGAGCAAGGAGATGAGGCTTCGACAGCGCGCGGTTGCATTGTACTTTATTGATAAGGTATGGGAAACTGGCGCTGATACCTTGAAGATTGTCAAAATGTGGAAAATTCTATTTTTTTTTAGCTGGCCCTTCGTGCGGGTAACGAAAAAGATACCGAAGAAGCCGCAGACACTGTTGGTTGCTGCTCTCTTCGTTGCGAGCACATCAACCTCCACGAGGAACTGGATGGGCAAAAGTATTTTTATTTTCCCAGCTCCAAATCTGCTTTAGTTACGTGGTAGAATTCGACTTCCTCGGAAAGGATTCCATTCGTTACTACAACAAAGTGCCCGTCGAAAAAACTGTCTTCAAGAATCTCAAGCTGTTCAAGGAAGGCAAGGAGCCGGATGACGACCTGTTTGATCGGCTTGATGTAAGGGTTACTTGCACAACATTTTACGTTAATTTTAGACCTCCACTCTTAACCAACATCTTCAATCGCTCATGCCGAACTTGACGGTCAAGGTGTTCCGTACCTCACAACGCCTCCATCACGTTGCAGGATCAGCTGGACAAATTGACAAATCGTAACGGCTATCCGTTAACGCAATACCCCTTATAGCGAAAGACAACGTGCACCAGAAGATCCTCTCCTACAATCGCGCCAATCGACAGGTCGCCATCCTGTGTAACCATCAGCGTGCGGTGCCAAGACTCACGACGCGAGCATGGCGAATTTGGAAAGAAGGTAAGATGGCCTAAACAGCTTCCGCAGCATTTTTCTGCTTTAGATCAAAGACAAGAAGAAGGAGCTGTGAAGGATGCGAAGGCCGAGTACGAGAAGGCAAAGTCCGGTGACAAGGAGAAGGCTAAGAAAAAGATGGATCGATTGAAGGACCAGTACAAGAAGCTGAAGATCAATCGCACTGATAAGGTACGCTAATTTTTTTGGCGGGGCACTAACTGTTTTTTAGGATGAGAACAAGCAGATTGCTTTGGGCACTTCAAAGCTGAACTATCTCGATCCGCGGATCACGGTCGCCTGGTGCAAGAAGAACGATGTGCCAATTGAAAAGGTTTAATTCCCTTTCCAACTTCTATATTTCTTTTAGATATTTTCCAAGACTCATCGCGACAAGTTCCGATGGGCGCTCGATATGGCTGATGAAGAATTCGTGTTCTAAAGACGGCTTTCATTTCTGTTCGTAGTCATCGTTGGGGTGCGCCCAATATTTTTTAGTTCTCCTACTACTCGTTGCTGGTCTAACCTTAATTATTTCTTGTCCCTCTTCCCCCCCGCCTCTCTCAACCGACTATCGGTTTTTCAGACTGTGTTAACTGGAGTATTTTCCCTTGTTAGGCTTTTATACCTGGTTCTTTTACTGTGCTTCCCCGTTTCGGCTGATTGACTGTTGTAATGTTCCTAAGATAATAAATAAGGGTGATTTTGATGTGTAAATTCAACAGACATTTCGACGTTGAACGCTCGGAACGAAAAGAAATTCAAACAAGTCTTTATCGTTGAAGGATATTAGTAATTACCATGGCCCAAAATTATTTGCGGTGAACGTGAAAACCGGCTCGTCGCCTCTCCAAATGTTCGTTTTCGTACCCCAATGCTGTCCAAACTTGGGCCGCAAGGTTTCAGCGCAGAATTCCTCCGGTTTCACGTCAAATCCCTGCGCCAAAGTATAGATTCGCGTGTTCTCGAAAAAAGATCTCTTCACGCCGTTCTGATAAGACCTCCTTGTCAATTGTTAGAGCGGATGCACAAGGCTTACCATTCGCTTCGGGGTGCTGAGGAATTGTCGTACCATCGTCCCTTGCGGCAACCGGACGGATTTGACGATATCCTCCAATTTTCGTTAAAGTACCGACCCGAGTTGCGTCTGAAGAGAATAAAATCAGAATATTCTAGGTTCGATGTGGTGAGCAGCGCCATCGGGAATTGAGCAACAACCTGAACACGTCGGGAGGGTGCATAAAACGAGGACATGTCGACGTGCATGTAGAAAATCCGAGTTTGTGCTCCCTTAGCTGGACGCTGAAAGGTAGGCAGAGTAAGAGATAGATACCAAAACCTCCGTCTGCTGACGTGAAAGCCATTACCTTGTAGATGAAAAACGTGAGTAGCGCTTTAAGAACGTCCAGAATTGGCTCTATCTGATTTCGGATCATGTAGGCCAAAGAAGCCTCATCCCTACTACGGGCAAGCGAACGGACTGCAATATGAAAGAAGTTTTAGAAAGTAACCAGGGTTGAAAAGCCGCTTCGCGACTTTTTCAACCCTGGCCCCGTCTGACCCCTCTTCATCCTTCACTTTGCATAATTGTCCTAAATTGGGATGACAAAAAAATGAAAAACACCCTCGTCGGCCCCTTTATATAGTCGACTCCCCACTTCCGGTCTATGCTAAGTATCCCTAACAAAGAAGTTTTCACAAAAGCTTAAGGATTTAATGTCGAAACAGCTGATTTTGTAAAATCCTGGATATGTGTGCAGTCATCTCAAGACCGTTGCGCACCTAATGACGTATCACATATACCTTAAAATTCATCTCCCATCGAGATATCCTCCGGACAGACAGACGGAAGTGGATGCAAAGTGGCACACACACACAAACACTATTTTTTTATATATAGTAGGATGGAAAATACAAGCAAAAAACCGTCTGGATTTCCAGCGCGGCTTACCGTCTTTGCCCATTGAAGAAAGTCGGAGATCGGAGAGCCGTCGTAGATGAAACGGTCACGCCATGTCGATAGAGACACATTTTTGTTCTAAAGCATTTTATCGGGATGTTTCAGGAATATTACGCTCATAGAAGAAAGACTTACAAAGTCTGGCCTCTTGCGAAGGCGAGACATGATGCTCTTCATACGTGTCAAGCTCAACTAAATTATTCTAATCCTACTATATATCCTACTATATATAACAAAATAGTGTCTGTGCGTGTGTGTGTCTGTGTGTGCCACTTCGCATCCACTTCCGTCTGTCTGTCCGGAGGATATCTCGCTAGGGGATGAATTTTAAAGTAGGTATGATACGTCATTAGGTGCGCATTGGTCTGGAGATGACTGC